CCCTATTCTTCAGAGAATAGAAATCCACAAGGAATCAAGTCTGTGTGGTTCTACTCACCAAGCCTAGACCCCACAGTCACTGAAGACCTTCAGGGACCTTGCCATCCTTAGTTGAGAAGTAGGGCCCAGACCATGGGTGGCAAGACTGGCAAGAATCTAGATCTTGAAGCTTCAGTTAATAATAGCAAGTTAATGGAGGTTTGTTCTCAGCTAAACTGAAAATCAGTGAGCTTTGTGGGCTATAGGAAAGGGCCCTGAAGCTCTGAAAACCCATGTTAACTATAAGATTCTATGCCCAAAGCCAGGGGACAATAGAACTGGCATCTGGAAAAGACTGTGCTCCAGACATGTATGTGTAAGGTGATCTCTCCCAAGAGTGGATACAGATGTCTCCAGCCTAGCTTGAAGAGACAGGGCACGGTGGTAGGTGGATATCAGGCCTGAGCCCAGTTTTGCTTCAGCTCTTCTCAAATGACATGACCTTAGAGACATTGTTTAAACTCTAGTTGTCTTCTTCCTTGTCTGAAAAATGAAGCAAGCAACCCCTAAGAAAACAGTGACTTGGAGGCTTTAACCAAGTGCAGAGCAACAGGATTGCAAAGTATTTGTCCTAGGCCAGCTCTCTGGCCACACTTCATCCAGAAAGTATTAGCACCTTCAGTGACGCCACCTAGTGTCCCCAAGAAAGACTATGCTGTAATTGGGGAGAGCCACTGCCCTAGACAGTTGTGGCCTGATAATGACTTTCCCTGGACTCACAACTTTCCTCCCACCAATGTCAATACCCCGCACACCATGTCCCTCACAAAGAACCAGTCAGGCGGTAATACAAGTCTCCCAGAGTGATTGGCTCTATGCACATGGTGGATCAGTAGCAGGAATCTAGTCTGCGAGCTCCATGTCCACGCCGTTTTTCTCTAGCTGGGACACACCTTGTTAGCATGTGATAATCTTGCAGGAGAGAAACCTTGCACTTTGCCATGGTTAATACATAGGAGTTCTGTTTTCCTTTGATGAAACTCTTCAAGGAAATCTAGATACGTACATTATTCAAGGCCCTCCAGGATTCCGTGCTTTCTGATCTGATCAGATTGTATGAACATGTGCTTCGCTTGATGCCCCAGTCTGTGTTTTGAGGTGTTACACAGATGTGCTAGCATGCAGAGTCCTCATCTGGAGGTCTACAGTCATTAGCTCACACAGTATTGAGGGATGAACCCTGGCCGTCCATCTGGACACCAAGAGTGCCACCCAGAAGGCACTATCTAGCTCAAGTCCCGTCTTGAAGGCACTGTCTAACCCATGGTTCAGGAAAGTGCTGGCCTGGACCATGTTTGCATCACAGGGAGTTCAACATCCTATGATATGCATGCAGTCAAACTCTTTTGTAAACGCTAAATAAAACCTTCATTCAAAGGATAAACTGACCTCCTGGCCCTCTTTTATTGATGTTTACTGACCTGTGGGGACCAATATCCCTGACTCATAGCTCGTTCAGTGATGATGCCATTCATGACCTCCTTTCTCACGCTGAGAGACATGGCGGCATTTTGCCTAAATTGTCTGCCTACATCTTAATTACAAGACCTTGTCTTGCCCTGGATGTAAATTCTGCATTGCTCAATCTGGAAGGGTCCAATCAGCATGGCTTCGAGGAAGAAATAGGTCGGAAGCACAGTCTAGTGATCCCGAAAGCAGTCCAGTGGGAGCAGGATTGGCAAGGCCCTGGTGTGGGTCTGACGCCAGGAAAGCAGTTCATCTCTGGGGATGAGGGGCCTGGACCGGAAGTCATGTTCAGCACTGCGGTCCTTAGGAGGAGGGTGGGTTTGTGGACAGTCTTGGAAATGATCACAGAAGGGGGAAAGGGACTAGTAGTCAACAGGAGACTACTGGGAGAGGAGAGGATAGAGCCAAACAAGACCAGCAAATGTGGTTGGCACTGAAGGGGACACTGTCAGTGGGGCGAGGCCCACAGCATGAGAAAAGGGCAAGCTGGAGGGCAGCCTACTGTAGCACACTGAGATCGGCCTTGACCTACAGTCTGGCCTGACGATATGTTTCCAAGTCAGTAAGTAGGAAGGAGACAGAAAAAGCAACTGGGAATGCCATCCTCTTTCCGAAACCTACAAATGGAATATTAATCTCATGCCCAATCAGTAGGGGTGATTCTAAGTGATCTGAAGTCATTTTTCCATCCCTGTAAGCAGGGATTCATACATATAACTGTGTATGTAGATACACTGGGGGGGGGCGGGGTTACCCATGCACATGAGGAGGTCAGAGGTCTCTCTCAGATGTCTCCTTCAAATACTCTCCACCTTATTTATTGACACAGGGTCTCTCACTTTACCTGAAGCTTGCCCACTCTGCTGGACTAGCTGGCCTGCACTTATCTAGTGCTTACTCTAGTGATCCGCACTTATCTGGGATTACAAGTACGCTCCTTAATGCCTGCCCGATTTTTTAAAATGTGATCCTGGGGCTCAAATTCGGGTCTTCATAAAGTGCATAGCAAGCCCTTTGCTGACTGAGCCACCTTCCCAGCCGTCTAAGCTCAGACTTTTCTAATTTTATGAAATAACAAGGTGCTTTTGCAGTTTGATAGTCTTAGGTGTTGCTACCTACGTGTGAATTTGTTTAAAAGACCAAGGCTGTCTGGGTCCCACTTTTCCTATCATCAGTACGGGGTGTGAAGGCTTGTTGCTGTGAGGGCAGCAAGAGCAAATATATGCAAACACCTAGTGTCTACTTTGTAGCTACTGATAGAGCTCAGTTGCTATTCTTAGATGTATAAGGTGCATTTGAGGACGGCTTGCCGTGGCCCACATACAAGAGTGTGTGTCCTGGAGTACAGGACCTTTTACAGAGCCTTACACATGGATGACCCACAGAGAACGGAGGAGGACAGGTGAAAAAAACTGGAAGAAAGCAGGAAGACACTCTGTAATCCATCTGTAACTTGGAGCTTTTTGGCATCTTCACTCCAAGCAAGAGCTGGCAAGATGTTTTGGCATCTTGTCAGTTTGGCATCCAAACTCCAACCAAGAACTCACAAGATATATTACTAAGAGAGGATGAGAGGTTTTGTCTTGCAACAGCTCTTCCTCAGAGCCAAGCTGGCAAATGTGGTAAAAGGTGGGGATGAGAAAATGGTCCTTGTTTCTCAAGACCTTCAAGAGTTCTGTCTGCATGAACAAAGGTGCTTTGTTGTTGATGAGAGGATTTCACTGTGCTGATCGGGTAGTCTTGAATTCATGGGCTCTAATAATCCTCTTGTCTCACCTTTCTGAGTAGTTGATACTACAGACTCCATTTTTGTCACAATCAGAGCTTTCAGAGAATCTAGACTTTGAAAACCTTCCATGGGTGTTGGCATCAGTTGGCAAGCAATTCCTCTTCTCTGATAGTTATCAAGACTCGCACCATAGGGAAATGGACTGAGATAAATGAGAAGATCCTAAATGAGGCCCACGGCTATGCCTGGTATATGGACCCATGGAGGTCCCTTTAGGAAGATCAGAAATAACTAAGGAGTGGAGGGGTCGGCTGCTCTAAAAGACTCAGTTTCCAACATGAGGTGACAATGTGGCTTTTTTTTCTACCTTTAGTATAATAGTGTCTTAGAGTTTCCATTGCTGCAATGAAACACCATAACTAAAAAGCAAATTAAGGAGGAAAGGTTTATTTGGTTTATGCTTCCAAATCACTGTTCATCAAAGGAAGTCAGGGCAGGAACTCAAAGAGGAAGGAACCTAGAGGCAGGAGCTGATGCAGAGATCATGGAGGGTGCTGCTTACTTGCTTGCTTCATGTGGCTCATTCAACTTGCTTTCTTATAGAACCCAGGACCACCAGCCCAGGGATGGCACCACCCACAATAAGCTGGGTCCTCCCCCATAAATCACCAACTAAGAAAATGTCCTCCAAACTTGTATCATATAAAGACGCTTTCTTAATAGAAGTTCCCTTCTCTCAGATGACTTTAGCTTGTGTCAAAAACTATACAGTACAAATACAGAATTTCCATTTTAAAAGGTTTATTTCTTCTTAGAAGAAAAAATAAGAACCTAAAGAAATTATGTAGGATTAATTTCAATATCAGTATTGCCATTGATTTTTAAAATGTTATTTGACCTGCCATTGGTTCTCACTACATCTTGATGAGTACAGTGGTTGTAGTAAGGTCAGTCTCTGACTCATTTGTAGAACAACGGGGTACATTCTCTGTAGACCAGTGCCCATCATCTGCTGGATATGTGATGGGCAAATCATTGACTTTTTGAGGTCAAATTTCTTTAGCTAAAGTACAGTGTATTCTGCCATCCTTTTCAGGATAATGCATATGAGATGTCCTGTGCAAATGCTGTAGGGCTATGTGCATACAGAGAATAGCATTTATTCATTTCTAGCCACTGTCAGCATAAATAAATGATCAGTTTAGTGAAACAGAGCTCTATTGGCTTTAGCTCTACGAAGAGAAATACTGTGTTCCTTTTCTTATGTTTGAACTCTGTCCATCAAGTTGCTTGATTAGAATATAGTGGATGACCAACAAATACTTGTTCGACAAATGGGTGGAGTCAAGCTGTTCTGTCATAGAAGGTTTGTTTTAGGGGCTGGAGGTGTTGTGGGATATTTGTACACTGTGTGAAGGTGTATTGCTGTAATTGGTGTAATAAAAAGCCCGAATGGTCAATAGCTAGACAGGAAGAAATTGGTGGGACTTCTGGAGACAGAACAGCCTCTACAAGGAAGAAGAAAGGCAGAGTGACCAGCCAAACAAGGAGAGGAGACAAGGAAAAACCAGGATGTGACGGAACACAGGTGAACAGAAATGGGCTAATTTAAGTTGTAAGAGCTAGTCAAAAACAAGCCTAAGCTAATATAATAATATAAGTCCTGGGTCATTATTCGCAGGCTGTTGGACCAAACATACTCCAACCAGAAAGCTTGCTATGTGGAGCTTATTCCATGGTGGGTTGTTAGCTATTACCCCCCCTTTTATAGCTCCTCATTCTCTTCCATGACCCTGTGACTGTCTCCATCCTCACAGACAGCAGGAAGATCTTTGAAAGAGCTATCCTTGCACTGTGGTGTGGCTTGCGGACCCCTGAATGCTTTCTTGTGCAGAGAGCAGCAGCCTAAACACCACTCACAGCAGTTGTATGGCTCCTGGGCTGCCCACACATAAACACCCACAGGCACTGCCAGGAGCACAACGCACAAGACCACAGTGACGTGCAAGAGGTGCTCACGACCCTCCAGCCCACCACTGTCTTTGCCTGTCACAAAGACCACACACTGGCCCTGGCCTGGAGGCTGACTCCTCAGGCTGAGGCATGCTTTATATTCGGTAGCAGGGAGAAGGTCATCCACGGTGTAGGTGTTGATCCCAGGGCCGATGTGGACCACTGTCTTCCTGGGAGCCTCATCAGATGCAATGTAGAGAGTGAACCACGGCTCCTCCGGGAGGCTGGGCACTGTGAGCCACTCCAGCAAGATGCCATGCACTGTCTGCTTGACCACTCGTAGGTCAACATAGATACTGCCCTCTGAGGAGATGGATAGAGAACGCAAGGCAGGTATGGCCTGGATTGGCTGGATGTGGACTGAGATGACAAGGGAGCTTCTGCCAATGGAGTTGGAAGCCATACAAGTATAATCACCATGGTCTATCACGTGGGCCGCTGGAATGACAAGCTGGGATAGAATGGTATCTTCGGCAATGGATGAGGCCGACACTGGGTCAAAAGAAGAATGAAACAGCTGTGCATTTCTTTGACAGATGCTGGGAAGTTCTAGCAATGCCAGGCCTCATGTTAAAATCATGGTTACTATTTATTAAGCCTGTACCTTGCATCTGAGGTTATCTTTCTGGAAACTATAGAGTATGCATTTAATTTGTATATAAGGTGCTGAGGGTTGGAGCAGCTGATTAACTTATCCATGGTTGTTCAGAGACAGCAATTATGTGGAGGCCATTCTCTCTCTCTCTCTCTCTCTCTCTCTCTCTCTCTCTCTCTCTCTCTCTCTCTCTTTTCTTTCTTCCTGGTTATAAACTGATTGGCCTATTAGCTCAGGCTTCTTATTAACTAATTCTTATAACTTACATTAGCCCATAATTCTTGTCTGTGTTAGCCATGTGGCTTGGTACCTTCTTCATTGAGGCAGTCACACCTTGCTTCCACTGAAGCTGGGTCATGACTGCAGACTGAAACTTTCCCATAATTCTTGTTGCCCTGCCTCTACTTCCTGCCTGGTTGTCCCACCTATACTTCCTACCTGGCTACTGGCCAATCAGCGTTTATTAAACAAGTACAAGAAACAAATCTCTACAGGGTAGAACCATTGTCCCACAGGTGGACATTCTTCCCTCTAAGGAGAGCATACTCTTTTAACATTAGCTATGCCCACTTTGGCCCTGCTGAGCCTAATATCATGGCTTAAGGAACTTTTTCCAAATGGGGTGATTAAGAGATATCATGAGCTCCAGATGAATTTTTACCTCCCAGATCTTCCTCAGAACCTAGAAATCAAATACATAGGCCCCTGCCTCCTTCAAGTACATGGTCCTGGGCAAAGTGCTTAAATTCTCTGAGCCTCAATTTTCTGTACCCCTTCAACTCCATTTCAACTGTTCTAGACAGAGGAAGAGTTAAGAAGGTAAGAATGTCCTTCCAGCTCTACCATGCTCCCGGGGAGCTCTTGCATGATTTCGGAAAATGCTGATACCTACTCTAAGAAAGGAGTTGCAATCTTGGGTCCTAATTTTGGGTCCCAGAAAGTCATTTCTTCCCTGCAGGCCCTATTATAATTTTGAGCTAATACTGTCTGATTACAATAATAGAGATTATATAGTCAGTCGAAATGTAGGACTTGCTATCCTTATCTTACAGGTATCACTCAAGGGGACACCATAGAAGTACATATGTAAAAATAAATATATTGGCCCTGGACCCACTCACTGAGTTCAAATCTCTAGAGCAGGGTCTTATAAAGCTTATTTCAAATAAGAACCTATGCGTAATTCTGGTGACTCTTTTTAACATAGCCTTTAACTAGAAATTTTAGGATTCTAAAATGTTAGTATTATGCTTTTCATCTAGAAGGTTCCCCCAAAATGTATTTGTTCATATTCAATTTTATTAACATATGAACATATTTACATACTTATAAAATCACCAGTTCCAGTATATCCATTTCTCTGAGATCTGCATTTACCTACTTTAAACAGTGCTGATAATGGAATAAATACTCTCTTGGACTCTTTTTTGTTCTGGAGAGCTAATGCACAAATATGCCAATCTTACCTGCACCCATCATTCATGACAAGGACAGTTTAAACCTCCTGTAATGAGACAGAGTCCTACACTGCCCCCATATATACCCAGAGGGTACACCAGACTTACCATCGAATTCTCTCCATGTGCTCAGAGGATACTTCCATGTTATGGTTGGTGAGGGACTGGCTTTTGCCAAGCATTGCAGGGTCCCATTCTTTCCTGCCTGAATAGTGACATTCACACTAGGAGTTGAGATATTCGGCTTCATACAAACACTAAGCTCAGTCTCATGTAAAAGCTGCCCTGCCTTAGAGACAGGGCTCTGGCATTTCAGGTAAGAACTCACCAGTATGAGTGGGGGACCAATGGATTTGATAAACTGAACAAAGCCCCTTAACCGGCAGTCACATACCCAAGGATTATTATGTAGTGCCAACACCGTGCTGCAGAAAATCTCAGCTCCACAACCATGCTGCTGGCCTTTCTGATAGGCTGGCCAGTTCAAGAAGACACCCTTGGATACAACTGTCAGCCTGTTGGAGGATATGTCAAGGTATGTCAGGTTGGCTAGGAACTTGAGAGCCAGTTCGGGGAGTGTGTCAATCCAGTTGTGTTTGAGATCCAAGACCTGTAGACAAGGGGTGGCACGGAACGCTGTCCATGGTACTGAACGGAGTTTGTTCCCCTCCAGTCTCAGCTCTCTCAGCTCTGGCAGGTCCTCCAGGGCGCCTAGGTGGATCACAGCGACACTGTTAAAGTTCAGCCAAAGGTATTTCAAGGTACTCATGTTGGTGAAAGCCCCCCGGGGAAGTTCAAATAAGGGGGAGTTTTCAATTCTCACTTGCTTGAATTCATCAGGAAAGTTGCTTGGAATCTTTCCCAAAGGCATTCCCATGCACTGTAGACTCCTGTGTAAGAAAGCAGAAAACTTTGATCAGCATAGGGAGCCTAGAGGTGGTATTGGGTGGACACTCTTATTAGACATGGAGATTAAATAAAAATAGACTTGAAATGAAAGATATTGATATTAGTAAACATGTTCTGCTCGATAAACTGCAGAACCAATTAAGCTGAATCCCACGGAGATTTAGCTGATTTCCCACAAGCTCTAAGCCTGAGTCACTCCATCTGACTCCTAATGAAGGCCCACTCCCCCCTCTTCCTGTTCACCTTCTGGAATTTTTTCAGCACATCGCACCTGCCAAAACTCTCCTCTGAGCAGGTGCACCCTGGCAGACAGAGAGGCTGAGCTGCATGCATATCCCAAGAGACCAGAACTTGCAAGAAACAGTAAAAAACAAAAGCCATATTTATCTTTAGGCAATGCCTCATGTGTTTTCAGGAGGTATGGTCTCAGCTTCTGTGTAGCAAATCCTATTATTGATAATCCATGAAGATGTAGGTCAGCACAGCAGCACTAAGGCCCCAAATGCTCTGGGCTCTGTTACAGCCCAGCTCCCAGGCTCAGGCCATGTGAGCTCCTTCCATGTGGAAGAAGTTGGGCCTCTTAACTAAAGTGAGAAAGTCCACCAAGCTCTGGCTCTTGATATGGGAAAGAGAAGTATAGGTCAGACATCAAGTTCTATTTTGCATTGACCTTCTCTCTGCCTCTTACCAAGAATCCAGGGAAATAATCAGATGCTGCAATCCTGAGCGCCATGGGTCAGGACTTATCCAGAATGCATTGCATACTCCCCAATTCACAAATAAACCCCCAATTCCAGCTACTTTCTAGAAGGGAAAGCAGATGTGAGCAATGAAGCAATTGTGTGATTGTACCCCCTGCTTGTTGTCTGATAGCACCATGGGTAATGTACTTAGTCACACTTCTACTGCATTATGACAGCTGCTTCTGGAACTCATGTCACGAGAATCAGCTATACATCAGGATGCTCCTTCGTTTTGCAGTTTAAGAATATAAAGCCAAAGCTTTGAGGTGTGAGGCAGGAAGCTTGACAGCATCTTTTCCTTGACTTATCCAAAACTGTTTCACACCACAAAGATCAAGTCTCAAGCTTGTAAATGCTGCCTATGGTAATCCATATTGTTCTACACTCTTCACTCATCCAATATTTATTGTTTATTCACTGTAAGGCATGTTTGTCAGGCACGATAGTGGTGCTATAGATATTTCCTTATTTAGTCTTCCTTGTGCTTATGTTTCTGAGTCTGGAGGTTTGGGAAATATCTTTTAACCTGTGAATCCATGTTTATCCTCTACAGAATAAGAATATTTCTTCACTAATCAATGAAAGCAACATATAGGCAGAAGGACCAAATATTAAAAAACATCTCACAATTTGTCCAGGAAATGTTTAGACTGGCTAAAGTGCCCAGCACACAGTAGTTGCCCAATAATCCACTCCCTATGATGACAGAGTCTTTAGAGGAACAGATGTATCAACTTTCTTATTAATTGGGGAACTTAAGAAAATACCAACTTTCCATGGGTCCTTGTAAAAATTCATATATAAATTATACCCCACAAAAGGCTTCTGGGAGAACAAATCCGCTCAGTATCTAACCAGTGAGGGGAAATGGGTCACCAACTAAGCTGCTTATGTCCCGGGTTTCCCACTCACGCCAGAGGCATTTGTGGGCATTTCTAGGCGGTTTAACTCAACGTTTCACTACATCTTTGCAATTCCTTTCAAGGCAAAGAAGTTTACAAAGACAGAGTGTGTTGTGGACACAAAGTCCTTGTAAGATATGTTGCTGTCATTACATTCAAAAGACGAGGAGCTGATCCACAGTTGCAAGGAGTGTTGTCACAGAGCAAGCGCCTTCCCAAAGCAGCATGCTTCCAGCGGCAGGTGGGGAGGACACAGTGTCTGGTCACTTTGACCTCAAAGAATCAACAGAGTGATTTTTTTCTCCCCTCTGCCAAATTTCCTAAGACTTAGTTAGGCTTTCTTCACTGGACTCTGCAGGTCAATGGGTGGGTATCTGAAGGCACAAGTAAGTTGCTTTCTTTCCTCTTGTATCCAAATAGAGTAGCCAAAAATTAAAAAAGAACCCTTTCCTACGATGTCTACTCAGTGTGCGACTTAACATAAATTCAGACCTACTCACTTTCCTACGAGTTGTCTTAGAGCTTGTAAAGAACAACTACTGCCATGTCAGTCGTCTGGGTCAGTCACCTCTGCAACTCCTCTTCTAACCATCAGCCCCCCATTTTGCAAAGGGGCATAGGAAGTAGCTGTGGGGGAGGGGAGGGAACAATTAAAGCTATCTTGGTGGCAGATCCAGCACTTGGCAGCAGTTGTATCCAGGTCAGCCTTGGTGAGTGGCAGTCCATGTCATCAAACCCATGCATAATCTCCATTTCTGCCAACATGGCACTGTGTTTGTGTGCCCACAGAACAGGTCACCTTATTTACTTAGTTATTGGACTCTTCCTCTGCTGAAGTCACCTTTTGGTGAGTGTGTATGCGGGACACAAGTATCTTCACACCCTTCAATCTTTTGGAGAGATCTAGCCACATGCTTCATCCTTAGATACCTTTCTTGCCAATTTTCTAGTCATCCTCATTTCAAACTTCTGATTGTACAGCCAATCCATTGACTATAGCCCATGAATCAAATCAGTGAACATTCACCCATTTGGCTATTTCTCCTTGCAGACAAAATATAAGGCCATGTGTAGTGACTGAAGATCTTCACACTGTGAAGACTTCCCTTTACTCATGTCTTTCAGAGTTGCCCTAGAAAAGGACTGTAATTTTGCAGCCATACACTCTGGACAGTGCAGGCTGTGGTCCAGCTCGTCCAACCAGCCAGAGACCTGGGGGCAGGTTAACTATTTTGGACCACTTCTTCCACAGAAAAGACAATTATTCTCGTTATAGATTTGCCTTTCTTGTATTTAATGCTTCTGCCAAAACCACCATCCATTGACTTACTGAATGCCTTATCCACTACCATGGTATTTCACACAATATTGCTTCTGATAAATAAAATAACTTTCTTCACCAGTGGAGAAGAGTGACCGTAGGCCCATGATCATAGAACCCACTGGTCCTACCATATTCCCACCCTCCTGAAGCAGCTGGCCTTTCGACACAGTACAGAACTATAAGGTACATTGGCAGGGTTCTCCAGAAGGTGATATGTGCTCTGAATCAGTATTCAATATGTGGTATGATTTTTTCCATAGCCAGGATGAATCATGGGTTGGAAAAGGGCATTATCCACTCACTATCACCCCTAGTGACCCACAAGAAAAATATTTCCTTCCTGTTCCCATGACCTTAAATTATGATGACCTAGAAGTTTTGGTTCCGAGGGCAAGAGTGCTATGGCTAGGAAATACAACAAATTTTCTACTTCTTTTATAATGTGACATCATTAAGAGAATATCAGTGGTTATCATATTTAATTTTTGAAATAACAAAAGAGTGTCCCTCAAGGGACATTGCCACTGATTCTAAAATTTATAAATTGTTTGCAGTTATATGAGGAACAATGATATCATGTTAGGCATAATTATGACCTGATTATTGTTTTCATTTGGAAATTAAGCATGACATAAGGAGGTATGATTGCTTGTCAAGTTGACGGGGCAGGGGGCTTGTGATGACTAGTCTCAGAAGTCAACCTGATTAATCTGGAATTAACTAACACCCAAGCAGCTGAGTACGCCTGTGAGGAGGTTTTTTTTCTTCACTAAATTATTTGAAGTAGGAAGACTCACTCCTTTTTTTCTTCTGAGACTGGGTTTATTTGTGTAACAGCTCTGGCTGTCCTGGAACTTGATTTGTAGATCAGGCTGGCCTCACAGAGATCTGCCAAACTCTGCCTCCTGAGTGCTTGGATTAAAGGCGTGTGCCACATTGCCTGATGGCAGGAAGACCCACTTTTAACCTGGAACTTTCTGTTAAGGGAGGAAGATCCACCTTTAATGTGGCCCACACCTTCTGCTGGCAGCATATACACAGGACATGAAAGAAGGAAGTTGGTTCTCTTTGCCTGCTTGCTCTCACTCTCCCTGGCAAGCCCATTCTTTTACTGGTCTACTACTTCAGGATTCCAGGGTATACTGAAGACCAACATAGACATCCAACCTTGGGGACTGAACAACTACCAGATTCTTGGATCATCCATTGGTAAGCAGCCATTTTTGGACTACCTAGACCACAACCTAGAAGTCATTCTAATTAGTCCCCTTTCTATATCTATCTAGATATGAATATAGCAATAGGAAGGGTATTTATTAGAATCTCAATAGACATAGATGATATATAGATTCATCCTGCAAGTTCTGTTTCTCTGGAGAACCCTGACTTACTTGACTGGCATTGTTGTGTAGCTTAATTAACCTGTTGCCAAATGCAGTCTTAAATATCATGAGACCCTGACGTCAAAGGAGAGAGAATCTGAGGGTATTTCATCTTTATCTCCCCTCCTAAAGGATGCTTTTAGGTATTTGGATTGTAGATTTGTCTCGAGATAGTTTTTGGAGGATTACTGTGGGATTGTGGCATAGATATGAATTACTACTGGGAGACAGTTCCTGCCTTATCTGAATAGACTCTCAATAAGTGAATATCCTATTTAATCGGAAAGTGCCCCTTACTCCCCAATGTGAGTCACTTTGAGAAAGCCTAGAGCAGAGAACTGGGTGAGTTACTAAGTAGCAGATAGACACTCCTCTGTCTTCTCTAGATAAAGCCTTTTCCATTTCTATCCTTTTTGAAAGCAAAGGTTCTCTGTGTAACCCTAGCTATCCCAGAGCTTGCTCTGTAGATCAGGCTGGCCTCGAACTTATAGTTCTGCCTGTCTTTGCCTCTGAGTGCTAGGATTAAAGGTGTGTGTCACCATAGCCTGGCTTCCCTTTCTAACTTTTGACAATATTTGATGGAGATGGTCTCTTAGCCACTCATGCTGACTGCTGACTAGTATGCCAATGAGGGAAAAGCACAAGACCACATTCCAAAGCACCCGTGAAATATTCAAGCCACATGACCCATGTTTTGGCTACTGAGACGTTAGGAGCAAAGATGTTTGAAAAGCCCCTCCACAACTCACTAGTTTCATTTGGATTTTTCTTGTTGAGGCAACTGTTGATATTCTAGATGGTGGGCTCTGTTGGCCTAGGTCATTGAGTAAGTGAAGTCAAACCTTTCCTCCCTCATCCCCGCTCAGTCAATGAGCAGACTGTTAGAGCGAGACTGAATCACTACGTCCAAACCGTTGAAGTGTGGAAGCTGCTGCCATAGCATCCGCTGGATATGTCCTAACCGTGCAAATAAACAAAATGCTCGAATCCCTGGGAACTGGTGATTATCTTCAGTAGACTCAGCTCTAGC